TTTTCAAGTTCATCTGCGTCATTGTGAACACTTACGTCTCACCGATACCAGCGAAGACTCGGAAGAGTCTCTTGGATCCAGAGGATTCTGCCACTAATTTCAGGTGGTGTCAAGCGACACCATTCAGCGCCACAAGGCGAGCTCAAGGCCAAGTAGAGCATGCTCGGCTTATAGGGAAACGATGGGCTAGTCAAGATCGAGAGAACACGTCGCATCAAGATTAGTTCAACCCAGTCTACCTCTATTCTAGGTATTAACCATCAGAGTCGTAAGAATCAATAATTTTTGGCACCTCCTCCGCTCCTCAAAATCTACTGCTTCTTCGCAGCCCTCTCTTCCTCCCTCTTCGCGTAGATCATATCCGTAAACGGGCCCTCGAACCTCAACGCCACGACATACACGACATACACATACGCCGTTATAACCAACCCAGCGATGGATTGGAACCATAGGGAGACACCGAGAAAGCACATGGTGGAGCCGACGTACATAGGGTTTGTCAGGATGTTGAACGGGAATCTACGTGTTATTTAGTTGGAGTTGGAGAGAGAGATGAGGGAACGACGCACCCCTCAACGCGCGCGTCCATCAAAATACCAAAGTAGTCCCCGAGAAATGTCCCCGTGATACCCAGCGCCCAGGTCGAGGTCACAACCAAAATCTGACCACTCGCCACAAGCGCAATCGGCAGGTACGTGTCGAATGGCTTCGCGAGCGGGGGAAGAGAAGCGGGCTGAGAGGCGAGGGCATCATGAAAGAGGTTGTCGCGGAGCATGCCAAAGGAGAATATCATCAAGGCAAGGAAATAGCATCCGGCTTTTTGTGAGCCAAAGAGACGGGTTATGGTTTTGTTGTGGTATTCTATGCAAATCATTAGTGCTCGAAGGGTATAAGGGAGAAAGGTGCGCACCATTCCGGGCTACGATATTCCATGCAGTGGGGTTGAACGTGATAGAGGCAATGCTGAGCCAGAAGGACGGCTGGGTGAGGTCCACGTAGGGTTTGGCGGCCGCGATGTAAGGCGCGAGGGCGTTCATGTCGTGTCGTGTCGTGTCGTGGGGGGAAAAACGTGCACGGTATTTGTAGTTGTGTACTTCACAAGTGCTTGGCGGGATGTTCGGGCCGACGCCTTGCCTCAAGGCGGTCATCATATCATGTTGGCAGCGATACTTGGACGGCCGGGGAGGCTGTACTCGACAGGACGCGTCTTTTCCCTTATGAAGCATCAGGAATCGAGGTTGGGAGAAGAGAATAATATCCTGCACGTACGCGGCATTCCCCAGGATGTTTCCTCGCAGGAGGTGCTCGCGTCTCCTGCGTTCAGGAATCTAAAGGGAATAGTCTCGGCGAGAAAACGTACGTTGTCTATCGCTGCACATGCAGGGCTCTAAACTCATGATAGCATTCCGGAATGACCTCAGCCATGATTACCTCTTCGTCAAATTCGAATCTGCAGCAGCCGCTACAGCCGCTCTTATGGAACACCAGCAAAACGCTCTCTCGCTCGACGGCGAGCCGCTCACCGTGGAATACGCCCGTCCACACGTTACAGACATCCGCCCTGCATCACGATCCACCGATACACTCTTCTTGGGCTCGATACCCTTCATCCCCACCCCCTCCACCCACGCACTGAGCACCCTCCTCCGCGCCTGGACCACCTCCTACGGCCCCATCCAGCGCCTCTCCTTCGTCCCCGCCGCCTCCCCCACCAAACCCGGCTTCGCACACGTCCAGTTCGTCAATTTCGTAGACTCGCTGCGCTTATACGAGAGCGCCAAGATCCACGGGGCCACACTCAACCTCGTACCCGCTCCCGCCGACTCGACTCGCGTCCCATCGAGTTACCAGCGGTTTGACGTGAACCAGCTCACTCTCCCTCTCGGCTCGGCAACGTCGGCGCGCAGCCATCGGCTGTATGTCGACTACCAAGGCGCCCCGCAAAAGCCGAGAGAAAAGAACTTGACGCCGAATCGGCGGTTGGTCTTCCGGAATTGGCATGACAGCCTCGAGGCGCTGACGAGTGCGCTGCCGCAGGACGGCAGTGTGATGCATGTAAAGTTTTTAAAGGTGCCGGGGACGGGATACATTCTTATGCGGTCCACGGCGGACGCGCGGAGGCTTGTCACGGGGGGGAGGAGTGCGGTGGAGGTGGAGTATTCGAGGAATGTGTTGCCAGATGGGAAAGGGGTGGGCGGGGAGAGTGAGTGGGAGCCGATTCAGGTGGGCGCGGTGAAGAAGATGAGGGAGAGGAAGATGATAAGTGGCGGCGGTAAGGACGGGAGCCCGAGGAGGGCAGGACTGGACGCGGCGATGGATGACTTGCTTGATACAACGACGCTACTAGGCTCCTGGAGACATCGGGAATCATGATGTGGCAAGAAACGCGTTGGTACAGATTGCGCATCGTGTCGGTTGTGGCTTACTATAGGTATGACTTCCTTTCCGTAGTTTGGTACAAGGCGTGCGTAGATTCAAGTAGTTGACTGCTCCAGCATCGGTTCATAGCCGATAGTTGTGCTCAATTGGACAAGGAGCTGTGAGGAGAAAGTCGACTCCTTCTTGTGCCAGTAAGCCTGTCGGACATGCGATAATACTTATAGACCTCATGCGCCATGCGCGCGGTGTATATGTATGCCTGAGGGAAGTCAATGTTCTCATGATTATATGTAGACGCACGGACCACCGCGCTCCTGATCAGCATCTTTTGATGACCCCACGTTCACCTCTGACTCCCAACTTGAACTTCCACAGAGCTGTAGAGCATGAAAACACGCGACGGAATGGAAAAGTCGGAAGACCCCAGAGACGCCAGGGAGCAATTCTGGGTTACACACTATTCCTATCTTTTGGAAAACGGTTACCGGTTACGTTTTCGGTACCAGCCTGACTGGATTCCTTCTTGGCTCGGGGCGGGTCCAGAGTGCTTGATGGATACCTTCGAGGACTGGCATTCCACATATGTGAGAGAATGCACCCGCGCGGCGCATGGATCCACCCACTGACAATTTGGACAGATAACCAAAGTTCTTGATGCAATCCGAACCGATGACGGGTTCGCAGTCGCTCTGAAGCGTGTCTCGCTGGCGGGCCCGGAATTATCGATGCTTCGCTTTCTTTCGTGGCATACGGATACACAGTCGCCCTTGAACCACACTGCCCCGCTGCTGCATGTTCTCCCTGTGCCGGATGATCCTGAGGTTGTGATTGCTGTTATGCCGAAACTACGCGATTTCGAGACGCCGGATTTTCACTGCCGCCGAGAAGTGCTGGAATGTCTGCGTCAAATCATCGAGGTGCGTTTTATCTTCTCTGTCGACAAGTCGGCTGGCTCATTGTCACTCATTCAGGGAATTGGCTTTATGCATGGGTTGAATATATGTCATGGGTGGGTCTTCTTTGTGTTCAAAGCAAACGGACATAATTCATTGCTGACGATAGAGATGCCTGTACTTTGAACTTCATGATGGATGCCACGCACGTATGTCCTCAAGGCTTCCACTTTGCCTGTCCCGCCAGCATTGATGGCACCGGAAACAATCAAGTGTCTACGCCTCGATGTCAATGTCAGGTGAAATACTACATCGTCGACTTTGAGACCTCTCAACGGTTCATCGGTGCGCGCAATGATGCATTGCGTGGGATTCGCGGTACGCACTGCCAAATCCGAACGGCATCCGAACTCTGTAAAGAGAATATTGATGCGGAAACACCCTACAATCCGTTCCGCCTGGACGTTTATAATATTGGGGCGACTTTCGAATCAATTTGTGATGTGTGTGTTCTATCAATCCTACAACTTTGCGCTTACTTCTTCAATACAGGACTATTTTGAGCAACTGGACGATCTACGACCATTTTTGGGTCGGTTGATGGAGAAGGAACCTTCGGCCCGTCCAATGTTGGAAAATGCCATGACCGAGCTGTTGGAATTCATTGCATCGCGGAGCGAAGACTGGCTTGAAGCTCCGATCAAATTCATCTACATGTCACCATACACCGGTCAACGTTACTACTGATTCTACTTGAATCCTACTTTCCTTGTAGATACTAGACTGAGTACTTCCGACCGCCAAATGAAGAATAATGAACACGATTAGAACACCTGATACCGAGTATGATAACAGAAAGTCTGGGCTGTGGTACTTTCAGGCTGGCATCATCACTTCCATCGTATGAGCTCAGTCCAGTCCCGTGCTCGCACGCTTGAAAGGAAACGAGAGGGAATGCTTCTGCGGACACTGCATATTTTCTTGTTCTCGTCCCAACTCGTCCGCCAGCGGGCAACCAGGCCACGCAAACACAATGTGGCGTTGATCCGGATATGGGACTCTATTGGCCACTGTGGTGTGGGACATCCGTTTAGTAACTTTGGTTCTTCGCAGCATATCGTGGCCTGCGCACATCTTTCGACGTTCCCTTTGACTGGAGAACAGCGTTCTCTCTCTGAGCTCCAGCAAGTCTTCGATGGCCTGGTACGTGCGCTCCGTTCCGACGGTTTTAAATGCCCTAACGTCTTCCTCGACGATATACAAGGACAATAGACAAAAGTGGAGAGAGAGAGTAGCTGAGACGGGCGCTCCTCGCTGCGCCTGATTGATGACGATGAAGTAGTCGTGGACGAGAGCCATGATGATCTGGGCAGCGCATGACTCGTCACGTTGGGTGAGGACGATCGCTCTTATTCGTTGGTTGGAGAGTAGGAAGAAGAAGAAGAAGGTCGTCGCTTACTGTAGAAGGAGAAGGGTCGCTAGTTCCAAAGGAGGACGAAAGTTTAGCGCGTCTTTGCTGTCCTTTGCTGTCGTCTTCCGACGAGAGACATGGGACGTCCACGACGGCTCGAGGGAAGTGTGCGCGGGATGAATTTGTAAAATTTTCCCAACACAATCGATTCTGCAAAAGAGCAAATGACATTAGTCTCCCTAGGGCCTAGTCAACCTTCATATCTGTCGTTTTTTTTACATGGGAAGGGAAAAACTTATCGAATTTCTCCAACTTATCGACGCCAGCAGGATTTGAACCTGCGCCCTCAAAGAGGAACAGATTACAGGAGGATCCGAGCCCATTCTAATCTGTCGCCGTAACCACTTGGCTATAGCGCCATATTACCTAAAGATGTGATTGTGCGGCGTGCCGCGGGCATGTGTATTTGTCGTTGCGAAGAAGAGAACTTAGGATCCAAGCGCATGAGGGCATGGCGAGCATCATGAGGAGAAGAGTCGGGATGGAATGGGGTCGAGGGAATCGACGCTGGATTATAAATACTCGAAAAGACAAAAAGAACAAAGGAACAAGACTTTACAATTAGAGGAGGGTGTGGTTGTTTTGCATCCAGAATCATAAACTGACCGTCAAGTCTGTGCATACAAAGTACAATGAGATAACATGAGTCCGTTGAATGCTGGTATGTAAGTATACGTGAGATGGTAAGTGATAATGATAGTACCAACGATGATAAAAGATCATGCCTAGCCCTCATGCACATCAGGACCTGTATACTCAAAATCGTGAAACAAATCCTCGAACGACTGGGACAGTTGTTCGTCCGCATCAACGTACTCTCCCGCGAAGATCCTACGTCTCCAATCAGTATCCAGTCGTAAAGGAAGCGTCAGCACTCACTCTCCCAGATCGCGTACCTTCGGCATAATCGGTGGCCTAACTTCCTTCTCCCACATCTGACACCAATCCGTCTCCGAAAACCAAGAATGCTCGTAGACGTCAAAGGGTCCATTGCAGCCCAACCGCACGTCAGGATCATGCCACATGAGGGCGGTGATAAAGCGACGAGCGTCGTTAGGGATAACGTGCGGTTGTGGCCAGGAGATCCAGTGGCCAGCGAGAGTTTTGTTGTAAAGGACGGTTATTGTCTCTTTAGTGAGAACGGGGCCTCGGGATGGCGTGTCGAAGGGTGGTTTCCCGTTCAGGAGCTCGTATGTGATGACACCAAGGGCGTAGTAGTCCACTGCCCGCGTATAGACTGCCTTGAGAATAATCTGCAGAGACGTAGTTAACATCGACGGAGATTGCACATGAAATGGAGGATGGAGTGTATCAAAAGGACACGAGTGGAATGAGCAGGCCTCACCTCTGGCGCAGTGTAATCAGGAGTTCCACAAATCGTTGACGTGGAAGAGCACTTTTTGGCGAACCCAAAGTCGGTTAGTTTTATGTGTCCATCCTTACAGACTAGGATGTTTTCAGGTTTCAGATCCCTGTGCACGATGTCTCTTTCATGGAGAAAGTCCAACGCTAGGAACACCTCTGCGACGTAAAACTTTGCCTCCCTTTCGTGGAAGCGCTGTCGATGAACATCCTGTTAAACTCTCGTAATTTTAAATAGACCTTGAACGCGTACCTTGAATCTACTCAGGAGTGAGAACAGATCCCCACCGTGCGCGAATTCCATTATCATATAGACGTTTTGCGAGTCGTGGAACGTGCCCCAGAATGTGACGATGAAGGGACAATATCGCGTTTGTTGCAACGAGGAGAGGATGTCGGCCTCTCTTTTAGTAGAATTTCGCCGGACGACTGTGGCTTTGTTGATGGCCTTGATGGCAAAGTATCGGGTATTGTCGTATGCGGACCGCACTGAAAGTAGGTTAGCGCGGAGACACATGATAAAGAGAAACGAGGACAGCGACGACAAGGATGCGAAAGACAACAATACAGCCGAGGGACCAAAACACTCACCAATGTGAACCTGTCCAGACGACCCAGCTCCAAGAACACGGCCAAATATAAAATCGGTGTGCCTGTAATTTATCTTTGTGGGCACTGTACGCGTCTCCGATAAATCTCTGAGTAGCGTAGTCGTGCTAATCGTGGGCGAGCGAACGGAAGGGTCGGTGGTATCCGAATTGGACAGTGGAGAAGTGGGGGCGGTTATGGTGTCACCGTCGGAGGGCGTGCGGAGGATAATCCGACGAAGGTATTCCAGCATTGTTTCGTGCCGTCTAGTCCGGGTCAGCCTCCACGGATTATCCACTTGGAGAATGAGAAACACTCTGACAAAAACGGAGATAGCACGATGGTGTGCAGAACAATCAAGCCAACAAAGAGACGGTGGAGAGTAGAGCCTTTGTTTATTGTTTGTGCACTGGAATGGCCAATGCCAGATCACGTGGGCGCACATTCTCCATCGTGGCGCCGAATATTGGGGGTGCCGTCTTCGCGTGGACGCAGAGAAGCGTTTCCCAGAGAGCGGCATGTTATGGTGCAGAAAAGTGTATGTCGCCAGGCATCAGACGTCGTATGTGTCAACAGAACGAAGTCTCCTTGAGGTCGTCTTTGGTGCGAAAAGAGAGTCAACATCAGGAAAAACCCCACTGGCAAATTCCTTCAAAAATGTTTTGTAAAAGTCAATATTCATAGAATTAGCACAATGTGCTTGTTTCAGTTGAAAATAGGTACAAAAAACTTGCCAATCAAACTTTTCAATCCTTGTTCTGCCAAATAAGTAGGAATCTGGGAGTCTTTGCATTAAGAAAATGGTTGAATATTTTTACACCTCATAGAGCCTCTACAGCCTCTTGGATCAACGGAGTTGCAGTCCTAATTGTTGACGAGGGGGCGGTAGCCAGGTCAACGTCGATGAAGCAAAAGAGGAAGTCAATCGAGATGCAAATCGTTCAAGTCCATTTCAAACTCCGGACCGGACCGATGCCCGGTACATCAAAACGAACCATGGCCAAACATGGTTGGACACACCTTTCCTTCACTCCACGACCTGCCAGACGCTTTCAAATAGTGCGTGCGACAAGCACCTGGTTTTCCGCGTCAATCTCGCGTCGCCGCTGCGCTGTCAACCCGCGACCTTCATGGAGCACATTTTTCGACGGCGGGGATCGCAAGGTGCGTCTTTTATCCATCCACGCATGCTTTTACCGTGCAAGTTCCAGCGCTCACTCCTTTCCAGCCCACCAACAAACTTCAGCTGTGACTCGACGGCTCGTGGGCTGGAACACGGGTTCATGATTCTTTTCATTTGTAGCACCAGTACGCGCCTTCCCCATCGTCTATGTACACGACATGGTATTGACCTCTGCTAATCAGCTCTGGCTGCGACCCGACGACGTCCACTTATTGGACCGCGACGAAACCGATATGACTGCCAGGAACGCGGTACAGGCGTGAGCGAGATGGTCGCGCACGACTACGATCGGAACGTGGGACTGTCGGGACACACCAAGGGCAACGATCAGCAGTCGACCGTCTCGTGAACAAGGTATAACAATACCCAAGACTCAGACGATGAGTCTCACAATGCTAATCAACAGACACGAGGACCAGAAGCTCAAGTCCGGCAAGGAAGCGGCAGCAATGGTGATGGGCCGAGGAGGCCAACCGCAAGAATGGGGTGAAGAGCGGGTGAACTTCGTTCGTCTTGCCATTGATGTCTCCTGAGCAGCACCTTAGGCGGACGTGTTCAACGTTTGATGCAGACTTTTGGGCTCTTGGGGTGATGTCGTATCGCATGTTAACCGGAAAGGTGAGTTCCAATCTCTTGTTTTGCTTTCTCACTAATAAAATAACAGATACCGTGGAACGAGGAAGAGGTACTCAAAGGCTCTGCCCCAGAACTACATGGAGTACACGATCCCGCCGATGAGCTTCTCTCTACTGTCGGGAATACCGACCCTTGTGTGCTTAGGACATCACGCGCCACGCGTTCTTCTGCGGCATGTCAGTCGCACTCTTTTCCTTCCTCCTCTTCCCGCTAACGAGTCCATACTAGTACGTAGGACACCCGCGAGACACCCGCGCCGTGGTTGACGTGGTGCGGGTTGCAGCCGAAGCATGGGTTGTCCGCTTGGTCGGTTTTGGTGTTAGGGAATGTTCACTTGTTCACCGCTGTTGTGAGGCAAGGTTCAGGCTGCAGTTAGTTAATATTTAGCTACCTCTGTATTGCAGTAGGCTACTAGTACTCCGCTGTATCAATATGTACTCGAATATATGATGCTTTGACCACTTTTCATCTGTGTATACTACAATGCAAGCCCCAATAAGCTAAATAACCTCCTGCTGACCCATCCTTACTCTCACTGACCTCGACTTTCCGGAACTGAAACTAGCTTTCCGCTATTCAACTGAAACGACAGAATGTTGGTATTCTACAGATATCTCAGGTATTTACAGTGTTTTAGCTGGAATTTGCCAGTGGGGCAATTCCTGATGAACGAACATGAAGAAAGGACTGCATCAGTAGCAATTTTACAGAGATAATCCGTCGGGGGTTATATAGAGGCGCGAGTGCTAGGCGACGATGGTGCCTATGATTATGGTTCAGATTCAGAAGTAAAATTGATGGCACGCCCGAAGTACTCTGTTTTGCCGCTGGCACTTTACCAACTTGGATGTCCTCAAGTGGATGGCACATCAACGGTACATAGTTGTGTACGAGACATGTACGCCTTACATTCCGCAAGAGTAAACAAATTGCCACGATAAAGACTAGGTTGTGGTACAAAGACATACAAACATAAAAGGCGTAAAGAAGTTGGCAGAAGTAGGATCGCGAAAACAAATTGATATATCCTACGCCTTCTCGTCGTGGTCGCTCATCGAGGACTTGCCTCCCTCAAGCTCCTTCGTTTTATCGACAACCTCCTGCAATGTCTTCTTACCAACGCTCT